TAAAGAAGAGGGGGGAGGAAAGGGATGCATGTTGTATGAGCAAAACATGCCCCATGGGCTGCATTTGTGACAAGATCAGGGCTGCAGTGTTCACGATAGCTAGAAGTTGTTGGGATGTTATGCTGATCTTGGTCAAAGCCAGCCCTAGGCTTCTATGTTTGGAATGGTGCCTTTTCCGATTATCCGTATGGCTACTGTGTTTGATGCTCAACCTGGACAGACAGGCCTGGCAGGCAAAAACTGCTCAGGCAGATGATGTCAGGGAAGACAAAAATTATCTAGTGCAAGTCTAAGAAGACAGATGACACCCAGCAGGAACAGCAAGCCAAATCTGTGGACTCCACAATACAGCTGGCTAGCCCCAGGGGGTATGCCTTTTTGAAGTGGAAGAGACATCACCAATGAGCTGTCAAATTAGCTCATAAGGCTGGAAATGATGCCGAGATTGAGTCCCTCCTATAAAGCAGAGGAAGTTTAATAGATAAAGATTCTCTTAAATAGCCACGGTGTAAAGACAGAAAAGTAAAGTATTACGACGAAAAAAAAGTCTGTCTGAGATACCAATTTCTTCTCACCTGGCTGTTCTACATCAAGTCTGGAAAACACACCACGGCCGAGCCCTAAGGACCACGAGCAACAAGCAAAACTTTGATAGACATCCTTAATCTAATCTGTTATATGGCTCTGTATAACCCAAAGCAGGGCTTTAATTGCAATAGGTTGGTGTAATAAATCTGACCAGTGAGCGAAGAATAGGAAGTTACCTGTCTATCCAAAGGCTCATTGCAACACACAGATATATGGTCATTCATTCGCCTTATCGCTTTTGATATAAAACGTATCTTCTGCCTGAAGACAGGTGTAACTCAGTTTTAATAAATCAAGAAAAGCATTAAGAACAGCAAATATATAGAAATGTTCCCCTGCATGCTCTGGAATTTAGAGCTTTGTAGCAGAGCAGTCAGATTGTCTAATAACTAGAAATGGGAAAAATATTGTTTGCAAGAGGAATAAAAAAAAAAAAAGTTTGGGGAAAAACTTCTGAACAAAGATTAAAGAAATATAATAAAACTATTTAATATGCGCCAACATGGATTGAAGTATGTTTAAAGCAGGACTCTGAGCAAACAAAAATCTTACCCTTCCAGTGGGGCAATCCCCACACTGCAAGGGTTAAGTGCTTGTTTTGTCTAGGGGGCTCAAATAAAGCTGTATTACTCATCTGATCGTTAGTCCGACCGGTCCGAGCAGCCTCTTCTCCGCTGTGCTCTGGTCTAAGAATTGCTGATGTCATCACTTCTATTGACCTGCATAAAAGGTGGCCATACACTTTACAACCATCGCAAGACCTTAGTCTTGCGATGGTTGTAAAGTAATTTAAAAAATGTACGATCTGCCCATCTTGGACAGGCCGATCGTACTCTCGATCATCGCAAGCCCGCCCCCCTGAGGGGCAGGCTTTCGATGACCGCCCCCCTGGGGGGTGGGCTTTTGATGACCGCCACCCTGAGGGGCGGGCTTTCGATGACCGCAATGCTGAACGGGCAGTGTGCGCGTGCGCACACCGGCCCGTTCGGCATTTGTCTCCCAAGCACCGTTCGGTGTTTTTTTAAGGTGGAGTTTTTCTTTAGAGCAAAATCTCTTTTTTTTTAGTAGAAGGTAGAGTAGGGAAGTGTCTCAACTAGGGAATTCACTCATTGTCACCAGGATTGAAAAGTGAATTGTCACCAGAACCAGAAGAGAGGCAAGATCTTCCAAAGGAAACACTTGTTACGCAATACTGGGAATAAAACCTTTTGAACATTACCCCAACATATTATACATATTTTTTCTCGGGACAGATGGGGCATTCATTTTTTAGTAGATTTGGATGCATATAGTAATAGTAGTAAAAAAAAAAAAACAACATTTAATAAAATGCATCCATGTATAATTTTTCCTTTGAAACTTTTACATAAATTGTGCAGCACCAAATGTTTACATCAACAATATAACTGACAAATCTTCCGATTATAAATTATACAAATGTGATTTTTATGCAACAGTAAGGCCTGGTTCACACCTGTGCGTATTGCATAAGCGCGTCACACGCGCGTTTTCTTCCCGGAGTTTGGTGCGTTTTCATGTGCGTTTTTATTGCGTTTTTTCAATTAGAAACGCGCGTTTTGAAGGGTTTTGGAGCGACAACAGAGGTATCCAATGAAAGAATTCCTGTTTTTCCACAAGCGTCCAATGAAAAAGACTTCCTGAGACGCAGCATTTCCCTTTCCTGTAAAAGACCTTTGTTGTGTGTGTTTTGGATTTTTATGCAGAGAGCAGTTTGGAATTATTTTAGACATTATGGAGCTGACCATACGACGAAGGACTGCAGCAGTCGTTGCAGCACTGCGTCTGATAGCATTGTGGAGAAGGAGGGATAGTAGGCGAAGATTCTGGATACATCCGATAATAGCCAAACGTGAGGAGAGAGGGCAATTTTGGGCTATGTTTCATACACTACGTGGACATGAGGATAAGTTCTTCAACTACACCCGCATGTCGATAAAGAGGTTAGTACATAAACAATTTTTGCTTATTGTTGTTCTGTCCCATTCCTTGTAATGGAATACATGTATATGTTCTTTATGTATTCATATAGCTAATTACTAGTATTGACCACAAACCTTTATATACATTTTCAGTTTTGATGAGTTACTGGGATTGCTGTCTGACAAGTTGCAGCGTCAGGACACCTTCATGCGGGACAGCATTCCACCTCCGGAACACAAATGAATGTTTGTGCTTTACTTTAGAAGAGCTTTTCCCTTTAGATGCAATATTGCAAGATGTGTAGCAAAAAATATTTAATTCTTAGCAAAACATTAACATCAGATCAGCTTGGGTTGGCAAGGACATGCAGTAAGTGATCATATCACTTTGATAACCTGTGAAAATGTCACCAATCACAAAAAATCTGAATAACATTGTGTTCATTTAGATTTTAGAACAACCGGAGCAGGTAGGCCTAAATGCATGTCAAGGTTTCAATAGAGACTAGTGTGTACCTTTAAATATGGGTGTGTGTTTGGCTTGAAGTTTGTTTTTAAAATAGTACAAGGTGACCCTTTGCATACAAAGTCCCACTGAAAATGTATCACGCTGAAATTGACCTGAGAAAATCTGTTTTTCAGTTTTCTATCAGCCATAACTGTGCCTGTGTGCCTCAATATTCATCTAGCATACTCAGCCACCCGCTCAGACTAAACTGCTTCTTTATGGTCAAAACCCCTCATTTTTAGGTTGTACAGCATATCCTCCTCTGTGTTGAATGGTAATCCTAGGTGATATAAACCTGTACCTGACTCAAGAGTTGGGGCTTATAAGCTTGCTGGAGCATGACCTATACCAGGGGTAGGCAAACTCCAGCTGTGGCAAAACTCCAAACCCCCATCATGCATCTGCCTCTGGCAGTCATGCCTGTCAGAGTCTTGCAGTGCCTCATGGGATTAGTAGTTGCGCCACAGCTGGAGTTTGCATACCCCCGACCTATATCTTGCCTTAGCATTATGAAAATAAGTTTTGGTTAAATCTTTATTGCCAAATAGATGAAGTGGGAAGAGCATGTGTTATAACACAGTCCTCCTAACAAAACTGAGTATGTGAAGAATCTCTGAATAAAAGAAAAATTAAGTGAACAGAGGAATCATGTATTTGTGGCTAAGGTTCTCATTTAACGTCAAAGGGGAGCAGTGGGGGCCATTCTGTTCGGGTCCAGGTGCATCATTTGGTCATTGTGACTAAGCATCAGGCAGATGATTAAAAGGAGAACTATGGGGTCAGTGCTTTTCCCCATAGTTCTCCTAAGGGTCACGGGAGAACACAAACTAGTGTTCTCCCGTGACCCAAAGCTCAGTATACCGCGAGCTACAGTTTGCGGTATATTGAGGCGCTGCAGCCTGAGCGGATCCTGACAATGCTGTCTGGCTCCACCCAGCTGAGTGAGTGACAGCTGGCTGTGCCTATCCAGAGGCAGAGCCAGCTGTGCCCGCCCCCTCCCCCATCCATTGCGCCAGTCAGCGCTGGAGGATCGGGGAGGGAGGGGATCCCTGCAGGGAGCCGTGACAGTCACGGCTCTCTGCAGGGATAGATCGAGAAGTGAGCGAGCGACGGTATGTGTTCGCTCACTTCCCGATCTACTGAGCCGACTTGTGACAGTTTCATTGTCACAGGTCGGGTCAGATTATGAGGCTGAGTGAAAATCACTCGCCTCATAATTCTCCTTTAAGTATTATACTGGAGCAACTTATATTTGCTCTTGTATAACCTAGTAAACAGAGTGGGCTAGATAAAGTAATGCTGTAAATTCTGATAGCAGGACTCAGGTGCTGGTTATCCTAGTGTGCAGGAAGGTTAGTCTCCAGTGCATTATCTCAGTACAGAACAGGTCTGTTAGGGTCGCAGAGAGGGTGGAACATTAATGTCATAGAGGTGTTGGGGTAGGGCATCTCTCTCTCTCTGCATCATGAGACCTTTGCTGAACAACATAGACATACTGGTGCTGAAAGAAAGGCTAATGTACTGTGGAAAGAGGGCAGATGTTGTATATTCCGGCACCAAGATCAGTTTTTCACATTTATTTGCAAATGTGAAAAACTGGTGTAAAACTATGCACACACGGCATATACTGTATCTCGAAACACAAGGAGACAAAATGCATACACACACGAAAATTTACTTTTAAGCATAAAATTCTTATTTATTCTTATATTCTGGATTTAGATATTCAACCTCCTGAGAAAAAGTTTTATACTGTGTTTTTGATAAATATTAATGTAGCAAGCGGTCTTAGTATAAAATCACAGAACAGGAAAGGGAAAAAATAAAAGCTGTCTCAAACATAAAAATGTTTAACACATTCCCCACTTTAAGGAAAAGGGGGAATGGAAATACAAAGTCTATCAAATGAAACAGAGTGACCAAAATTTCAATGAGTAAAATAACAAAACTGGGCTTCGAATGGTTTTGTGAATAATTCATTTAGCTAAAGCCACCTAAAGTGAATTAAATGGCCAAGCCTGAAGAGGAAGCATGTGTATTAATTTGTACTGGGGAGGGAATCACAGCTAATGGATATTGGTATAGATTCTATTTTTAATGAAGACCAAGCTTGGGAAATGCTGCCGAACTCCAGGAAAGTGCTGGATATGACTGAACCAACGTGACACGTTAATGCAAGTCTCCTTTTCCTGGACCGAAAGGTCAGCCTAGGAAGAAAACAAAAACACAATGTTAAAACCCATGAACAAAAATGTAATATATTGCAGCTTACAGGTCCTTGGGTGGTGGTTACCATATTTTCTTTTTTAGGCTCCTTCCACCTCCCTTTGACACCTAGTGATCTGACCTTCTTGTCCTAAGGTGGTAACACTCACTGACTGTACCGTATGCATGGAGAAGCATCGTTGTCACTCTTGGACAGGACAGGCAGTATGAAGGCTAGTATTTGCTGATCTGCTTCTGAAAACATCATGGTGATCTGACATGACTCCTGACTGGGGCTGCAACAACTAATTGAGTTAAACGAGAATGAAAATCGTTGAATAACGATACTCATTATCGATTAGTTGAATTCCCCCTCGCCACCGCTCTGCTCCTCTGTTTTTCTCACTGGGAACCGCTGCATGCTGGAGACTGTGTCCCCTTCCAGTAGAAGGGAGACAGAGCGCTGCAGCCAGAGCCCAGCAAGGAATAGAGACCGCTGTGCTTCTGCATTTCCCCCGCTGCTGTGCCCCATTCCCCCTCCCGTGCCCTGTGCCTCCGCTGCTCCATCCTGCCCCCTTCTTTTACCAGCAGTAAAAAGCCAGCATCAAGTCTCAACAGAAACTTCTCTCAGCAAAGCTTTCCTTTAAAGGGACCCTGTCAACAGACCCTTCCTTTACCGACAATGTTCCCATAAGATTATATGTTTATCTATTTTATGAATGTTATTTACCTGTAAAATTCTCCCATGTGTAGACACCCAAAAGCCCCGAGACTGCTGGTGGGCACCACCATCTTGGATGTGATATCAACAGCTTCAGCAGACTTAAAGCTGTCACTCAAGTGACAGTCTAAAGCAGGAGTAGCCAAACGTAGTGAAACTTGAATCCCCATCTTGCCTCTGGGAGTCATGCTTGTGGCAGTCTTGCAATTAATTAAAGGGACTTGTAGTTCCCTGAAAGCGCCAACGTTTGGCTACCCCTGGCTCTAAAATATTCCCCTTTTATCCTCCCCCAGCAGCTACATAAAATTTTATATAGGGCAGTGAGGGGCGGAGGACCATGGCCAGCATAGACAGTCAATTACACACTTCCAAAAAGGCAGAGGGCTATGATGTGCAAGGAGGGAGGGGGCTTTGCTACAGAAATAATTCTCCTGGAGTCAAATTTTCTAGCAAGTTCTTTTCTCTTGCAATTTTTTTTTTTTTTTAACTTGGGGGGTGGGTCTCTTTAGACTGTATATAAAACCTAAATTCCTCACTGCATACATTTTGGTAAATAATTGTTTTTTTATGTTCATCACCTGAAGATCATGCCAGTATTATTGCTTTTTAATGCACTGTAGTGTTAATGTTGCCAGTGCATGTCAGCTTGGCACAAAGCTCTTCCTCCTCAAGATGTGTTTCCCCCCCCATGTTTTGGTTGCTAAGAGCTGGCAAGGGGTTGGAACCTCTCATGTTTTAAATGCTTCCCATGTCTCCACTGAGTATTTTATCAGATTTTAAATGTGGTCTGTGTTCTCATTATGAAGTGTTATGGATGTGTGTTTGGGATAAGGGACTAAGCCATTCCTATACTATAAAAATTGGGGTATTTGGGGAAGATCTAGCTATGCCATCATGTAGACTCAGAAACTCTAGCGCAGAGATCTTTCTGAAAGACCATCTAAGATATGTAGGAAAATGTTTTAGTAGTTTAGCATCCCATTTTTGATAAACCGATTTCTTTAAAATACAGGTCAGCTGTATATTTATATTCATGTATGTCCATGTGAGTTTATCAAGTCCATTTTATATCATTATATACTTACTATAACTGGATGAAGCCCATAATAAATTATAATATCTGCCAATGTGATTTTATTTCCCGCCATGTATACTTTGTCTTCCAGGTACATGTTAAGGTCCTAAATGAAAAAGCAGACCAACATCAATCTTAGTTAACACAAATACAGAACAATAAGCAATTCACATATATAAAACAATTATGTTCATTTGGGGTAAAACTGGGCATATGCATGCAGTTTATTGCAGTGGGGTTATTTTTTGTTTTTCATTGAGGTTCTTAAAATTTTGGGATGATTCCAATAAGTAAATATTCCAAAGATACAAATGGTATTACAAGTAAATTGCATGCGCTTTTGTATAATTACACTAGGCACACTTACAAAATTTTTATATAATTTAAATTACAGGCTAAGCTTACCTTAAGGACCATGTTTCATGTTGCACCCATACTGGTTGTTACATGAAACATGGTAACACACACACACACACACACACACACACACACACACACACACACAC